CTCTATCACCACCCACCCGAAGCTCCTCGGTCTCCACCTCATCCGATTCGCCCGACAGCTTCCACGATGATCCCTCAGAAGTCGTCCTCCAGCGCTACGACGCAGACCAGGGCGCCAACGTTGTATATATCAATGGCCCTCACTCGTACGCGCCCAAGCAGCAACACGCACTCCCGCTGTACGACACCCAGCCCTCGAAGAAGGTCAAGACCTCCGCGGGCGGCATCTTCAGCAGGATGTTTGGCCAGACCGGCGCCTACGCCGGCCGCCAGACTACCTATTAATGCTATTCGCTACTCCACCACCCTCGCTTCAACAGCCTAACGACTTTCCTTATTGTTTCCCAATGACATGATCTGATGAAAAGATGCTCACTGGATGGACATCTCTTCGCCCATCTCGTCAGCCCTTTGTTGCATCAGCAGGCGTTATTACACAATTCCCAGCATTTGCATAGCACAGCATTGTACCGGCGTTGGGATATCATCAAATATCAAATCGGAATCTTGAATCGCATCTATATTGCGATTCTCGGCGCGACCGCCTCATAGTAGTTTAGCTCTCTTATAGCTTTCTCACAGCCCACAAATAACTATATACCGCGGGTCTTCTGACTTGTCAGATACTCGGCGAGTAATGGGACAAAGGAAAAATAAAATATTTTGTTCAAAACACAATTCTTCCCTCGCTATTTCCGTCTCCGAAAGTATTCTTGGCAACGGGCGTTCTCTCTGTCAGTGTGATTGAATGACTCTCCTCCCGTGTATCCCTTCGCGGTTCGCAATTTCCGTAAATTGGGGTCTGACATGCGCACTAGTGTGTGGGACGGGTCCACGGGTATCTTATCTAGCTAGTGCGGACGGATTCACTTACAGATAGGTCCATGGTTTGGTGGCGCACGCTCTTTCTTGACACGATTCATCAATACGCGACTTTGTCCAATATCTCTCGCATCGCATGATGTTTCTCATGCCGCACCCAAACAGGGCGATCTAATCGCGGTGCGGTAATTCGCGCGATGCGAAAGATGAGCAAGACTGCATACAGGCAGCACAATACTCAGCCTGGCATAAACCTTCTATCCACATAAACACAGCATCCGATACACCGGTCATTACTCCAACACAACTACGCAGTACAGCCACAACGCCATCCGAGACCTCAGTAAAATGCATACACCCCAACTCGCAATGATGTCCAGTCGTTCTGCCTTGTACGACACTTTCTGCGGGCCGCATGCGCAGCCACAGTAGGCTGACCACCTTGCCGACCACACATGACACTTCAAATGGACACTTCAACTGTATACCTGCTACGAAGCCTCCGCAGCCAATATATCTCTAGCTGAACACTGAGCTCAAGCACGGCTGAGTCGCGCCGGTGAAGTATGCGTGTGTGTGCCTCACAACCTCCATGCACCCTCGTCATGTTCGGATCCGAAGTCCAATAAATCCCACCGGCATCATCAAACCTGGGAATACGCCATGCCATGTCCCACATCTAACCCGTAACCCGTAACCTGGACTGCAGAAATCTTTTACCTCGGCATCACTCCTATCTCAGCTATCCCTCGATGTGATATCCACAAAATGGCTGATAGCAATGGATGGCACGGCAAAGATCACAATATACGATATGCAGGAGTCAAGGAGCTTAGGGGCCCGCGTAGATCAAACGGGTTGTGAGTGGCAGGAGAGGAACGCTAGGCCTGTTTTGGGTATGGTGGGGGGTTTCAGGTGGGTGGCTTGGCGGTAGGGTGTTTGGGTGTGGTTGGTCGGTTCGTCCAACCGAGGAGGAAGGAGGGGAGTTGTGAAGGTCGGTATTTGTTGGAATTTGGATTGTCTTGTTGATGGGTTTGAGTGGATGCCGTTGACGCGTTCTTAGGTGCGCATGCGATGTGCGTTGGAGGTGGAGAACCTTTGAAGATTGTAGGTGGTGATGTCATCGGTTTTTGCTTACCTACGGCTGTGATCGGGTGGGTCTCAGTGTGCGACGCGGTCGCGTTATGTGTTATGCACGATACTCTTCATCCTTCTCGTTATACTCGAGCTCACGCGTTCCAGCTTATTGGTCAGTCATCGACATGCTCCAATTTTCTTGCGATGCGTCAGATGAACCGTTCACCGGGTTTCAGTGGCGCAACACCTTGCCGCTCCAAGGCCTAGGTACCTGGGACTTTTTCCAAGATCCAGCTACAATACCCAGGTATCTTCGGCAACCAACGTCCGAAGCTCAGTTAGCAGAAGTCCTATACCGTTCAGTGCATACGAAACTGCACAATGCTTTAAGCCCTACATTCATGCTGCGCTCCTCCATCGAATAACACGCATTACCTGCCAACACGACAAGAGCAACCCAAGAACGCAACAAGGAGAACCCGTCGTCCTTCAGCTGAACATCTGCACAATATCGATATCTCGTCCTTGTATAAGATCATGCACATCATCAGAATTATGTGAAGACTTACCGCATGCAGCCACGATCACAGTGGATCCTTCGTCTCAGGCATGAAATCTCGCCGCACCTGATACAACAACTGTCAACACTTGCCTGGTAACACGGGTAGCCTGGCATGCCAATGCCAAACACTCAACCACCGTCTAAGATGGCCAACATGAGGATTCCTTTCGCGTTCTGCATCTCGTCGCTCGTTCTTCATCCACCTTGAAGGTTTTTCGTTCTTTTCGTAACCGCTGGCCGGTCCCTTTTCGCTCGTTTCTTAATCTTTTGTAATGGTTCGGCAATTCACCTTCTTACCGGGAGATCGGAGGGATACGGGAGATGATGGCAGAACGTTGCGATATAGTCATTGGGGACGGTATAATACTTTCTACGGACTCTCCTTTACGACGACGCTTTCGACAGTGCTTTTGCTGGCACAGATCAACGAATGCAGGGTTACGGGTCAGCTCTTTACTCTTGCGAACAGGTTCCCGGGTTCTGCTGCGTTGGTCGTTCAGCTTCTCGCCGCTTTCTTTGGACTTTTGCATCTCGCGGTTATTTGCAAGCTTATCAACTATGCGCTTCGACTGCGGCTCAACAAGGTCAGCGTGTCTCTGGATGTGTTGCGCACTTGGGTGGATATGAGCATCATGCGCGTGGATTGGGACTTGCCTCTACGGTTCTTCTTTCCCTCTGTCTTTGTCGTTCTTCTCAGTCTTGTGCCTGCGGCGCTCTGGGCTGGTTCGATGACACCATCGGTATCGCGGACGGTGGATAGCGGTACGCTTTTGATCCCAAGTTACGAGGACGTGTCGATGATTAAAGAGTATCCGATGATGATTGGTAGTTCTGGACCGTCGCTGCGCACACAAAAGGGCTTCTTCACTTATTCAGTTGGCCAGCAACAGAGCAGTCAGCTTCTAGCATCAGCGGCTCAGGCGTCTTCCTTTGGTGGAGGGCCCCATGTCCATCGCAAACTCGACAACACTCAGTTCAGCTACCGAGGCCGTTCATATGGCGTCGGTGCATCTATCGGATTGATGGACCAAGGGATTAGGTCGAACAGCCAGGTTGCGGGCTACATCTACCAAGAGGAGGGCTATCTGGCAAACGTCACCTGCACGTACAACGCAACATCGAACTTCACCCTGTCCGGACCAGTCAACGAATGGATCTATGCGGCTTCTGGGAATCTGCCTGACAGCGAAGAAGGCCCGGAATACTCAAACTATATCGGCCACGACGGTAAGGCTATCGTAGCGATGGGCGTGGCGTATAGCGACCGCTCCCCTCGCCGCTACCTCGCTATCGCTGCAGGCTCAGCCTACTCCTTCCTCAATACCACGCAATGCGAATTCGACTTTACCCCTACGCTATTTAACGTCACCGTCGACGTCGGCAACCTTAACATCACCGTCAAGCCCGTGCGCACCATGTCTGATTTCAACCCCCAGCGAAACGTCACGCGCACGGTTGTGCGGCAGTTCGAGCTCATGTCGAATGACATGACGAATCTGTATGTTTCGCTGCTTGGCGAGGCGTTCAACTCCAGTATCGCGGCATACAAGATGTCAGAGACGTTCAATAATCGAACGTTTACTGAAGAGGAAGCAACACTAGCGGGTCTCACTAACAGCATGGTTGCGATGGCTGATGACATGTTGGTTGCCTATGCGTCTGCGCAGCTCATGGTTGGACGCATGTTCACTCAGCAACCGGCGAAAGTCTACGTCTACGCGCTGCAGTTTGGGCAACCGAGTTACATCTACGCTATCTTCACGCTCAACCTCGTTATCATCCTCGCGGTTGTGTTTGAGGCTGTGCGCACTGCAGCTTGGTCTGCGTTGGGCCGCTTCAACTATCTCGATCCACGTGATCTCATCGTCGCTGCATCAAGAGGCGGAGGCGACATTGCAGCTGCAGCGGACGACATCATGGAGCGGAGAGAAGGGAGGAGAATGAAGCACATCTGGCTATTAAGCGACCCTGACGGAGGCAACGGGTCCCTCATCGTCAACTTACGGGGTGACAAAGACGGTCATGTCAAAATTGAAGTTGGGGCTGGACAATGCGCGAGAGACGCAGAGCGCGCCTACCCGCCAGACGAGAAGAGCATGTATGTGGAACATGGCGCTGAAACAGAGCGGGGCCCGTTAACACCCAAGACACCTATGAAGATGAAGGTCGGCATTTTCGGTTCAAAGCAATAGAAGACATGGGCTTGAGACATTGCTCAGTGCTCCGCGCTTGGTGCGCTTCCTGGATTTGGTTCAAAGAAGATATCTAGATCAGTTAATGAGACTTTGTTGAGACTTTGTGGTTTGGTCAGATGATGGGCATGCGTGAACCTGAGTGACTGACATTGGAACGTGACGGAGGAGTGTATGTGAGGGAGTTTGGGCCATGGGAGGGGGATATAAGAAGATGAAGAAGTTCGCGATGGAGGAGATATCAACACATCTTCACATCTTCACTACCATCTCACAACACCATCACAACAGCATTCTAACCCTTTTATCATCAAACTACCAACAACCACCCCAATCATCTCACCAAAAATGTCCTACCCACGCGTCACCCTCACCGCTACCCCCTCCCGCGCCCGCGGCGAGCTCGTCGCAAAACTCAACTACTTTTTCCGGATGGCCCAGAACGACTCCACATTCTCCTCTCACGAATTTGACGCCTGGTTCCTCACTCTCACTGTCGAAGACCGCGCAACTGTCCACGAAATCGTCCAACCGCTGCACCAAAACTGGCCTAGTCAAGTCGAATACCCCAATGTCATTGCACTGGTGCACTGGTTGCGTGAGCACCGTGCTGAGTACCATGCAGAGCGAGCTGCTGCCGTTGCGGATGGTGTCGCACAAGCTGACAATGGTGTTACGGCGCCAGGAGGAGATGGATGTGAGAACTTGCAAGACATGGAAGAGAAGGTTAGAAAAATTGATGGGGATTTGAAGAAGGTGATTGATCGGCTTTCTGGAGCTCCTCAGGAACAAGTGGAAGCTGGACCTACGGTACCTGAGCCTGAGCAACCCGTTCCTGAACCGACTTGCCCCGGCCCTATCGACGAGGAGCCGCAGCCGCAGCCCATTCCTCCTCACCCATATCCTGTTGATGGAAGGGATGTTCTGGCCGTTCTCGTCATGGTCTTGGCTCCGGCTTGCTTGGTACGTCTCTTGGTAATCCTGTGTATGCTCCTGCTTCTGCGACAGGCTTCTAATGGTACGCGACGTCTCTAGATCGGCGTGGCATTGCACCGACGCTGGTTCCGGTAGTTTCTGGACTTCAGTGTTTGGAATAGAACTGCTTTGAGGAGTTGGAGTTTGCGTGGTTTCCTTTCTTTACAAACACTCGCTGGTAGACTGACTGGGTTTCGTTGTTGTCTTTCATTAACGGCTGTGTCTTGTAGTTTCTTGTGGTTTCTTGTCTTTACAAACATGTCTCGGTAGGCGTTGTTGGAGTTGGGAGTGTTCTTTCTTGTAGTTGCAAACGTAGACAATAGACAAACCGGAGCGATTCGGGATATAAACGAAGTACTTCCTGTGTGAGAGTGAGTCTTCATCCGATAGCATCATCAATCATACAAGAACAACTTACAACAACCACCAATCTCAACAACACAATACCAACCATGTCCAAGAACAACACCACCACCCCCGCCAGCGATGCCACTATGGCCGAGCGTCTCGCCTACTACGAGAGGTCCTGCAAGCGAGCAGAGAAGCGTATCGAGAAAAAGAAAGCCCTTGTCGCCAAATTGGAGGAGGAATATGCGGCCCTTAAAGAGCAGCTCACCGAAGCCAGGCTCGCACCGACTCTGGACATGGAGCGGATCGAAGTCCTGGATGCGGCGATCAGAGCGAACAATGCAGAGCTTGAGACTGAGGCTGGGCGACACGAGCAACTATGCGAGGACTACCAGAAGCTGATCGACATGAAGAACGGGTCGGAGGCGGAGTTCATCGCTCGTGTTACGGAGTATGAGAATGCGGAACTGGAGCGTGACGGTGGCGATGGTGAAGATGGAGAAGGACAGGGAGAGGACGAGGCTGCCTAGATCGAGCCAAGAGGCACGAGGGATGGAGATAGGGTCTGTTGGTCACTGTAGTAGCCTAGAGTAGCTCATTGTCGCTCTCTCACTGAGGTCAGAGGCCGACTTTGTGCTTACGCAAGGCTTTTCCTTAGAAAATACATGTCTTGACATGAAACTTATGGGGTCATTCGCAAAGTGAACGTGATACAACCTCATCACTCGACAGTAGACGTGAGCATGTTGAAAGCCAAGTGATCGCATTGAGAAGAAGGATCGGCGTTGAAAGGCAAATGAAAGTACAAACGGTAAGCTATGCGAACGCTAAGGGTATGAGGTGAAAGCAAAAAGACAACCAACGATAACGACGATAAAAACGATCAACCCAGTCCACCATGTCACCGGTCATGTCCGAGCTTCAGGTACTCTCATCAAGGACCTGGTCGCAGATAGCGCGATGCTTGATGAAGAAGACATCCAGGCCCAACTTAGCCTTGGTACCTGAAGTGAGAAGAGCCTGGATATTGTCGCATGCTTCAGGGTGATGCGCACAAAGATCAGCAATGCAGATTGCCAGCTGACCTGTAGCCATCTTGAAAACGGAGTAAGCATCGCAGGTATGAGGCCTGGTCTCGGTGACCCATTCTTCGTAACTCTCATTGTTGAGCGTTAGAATGGCATGGAGTAGGTCGGCTACGTCCTGGCAGTTGACTCCGGGAACCTCTGGGTCGCACAAGGAATACAGGCAGATCCTTTGATCCTCGGGAGTGAAGGGAAAAGATTCGAAATCCGTCGGGAGAGATGGGACGCTCGCGTGCATTGGCGCCGCGATAGCCCCTGCGCAGAAGCAAGTATCGTTGAAGTGTCCGCAGAAGTCGCAGTCAGGTTCGCACTCGCATGAGGCGGCCCGGGAGATCACCGGAGCATCGATGGCTGGGTAGACTTTCTTCATCTCCTCCATAATTTCCTCGCATGGGAAGCCCATCAGGAGTGAAGCATTCACGGGGTCGCAGACTGTGGGGTATATGGCACGAGCATACGACTCTAGTGCCAATTCATCGCAATCGTCGACTCCAGTGTGGTACCTCCGGACGATGTTGCACAGTGTTGGGTTTACTGAGTGATGTGCGGTTGGTACGCGTGTTGGCTCAATGTCGTCTGGAGTATTGCGAGCTGCAGGGACGCGACGTCTTGCCGGGTAATAGACCCTAGCTAGGCATAGACTGTCTATTGGTTTTCGTGGCTTCTTGCAATCCCGGCAGTCTGTTTCGCGAGGTGCAGGCGCAGGTGGTGTGAAAAAGCCCCCGCGCGACGTGGTGGAGGTGGTGTCCGATGGTTCTGGCCTATGCGGAATTGCTGGTCCTGATACGGTACTCGCTGGCCTGGGCGGAAGCATCACTGACGATGTAGACGGCGCCAGTATGAAACCGGGGGTGGGTTCATCGGAGAACTCAGCGGTCATGCCCATGGTATACGTGAACTTCATGGTATGAGCCTCCCGCGATTCGGAGCCGTCAGCGTCGGAGTCGGAGTCGGAGTCGGTATCCTCTGCCACATGATTTGGAAGGTTGCCCGTGTGAACTTCGACGCTGTCTGCACCGTGTGTTGTAAGGCCAAAATATGGGTAGTCGTAGCACGACATGATATCGGCAAGAGACGTGGAATCTTTCAATATGGTCACGCGTGGTGACGTATCGCAAAGGACAAGCTCAATGTTGTCTTTAGGGGTGCAAACATGTGTCTCAACCTTTGCGGAGCCGTAGAAGCTCTGGTGACAGCTGTGCAAGGCGATCTTGTTGTGGAAGGGGTTGCCTCGAACCGGGGACAGGCCGACCCAGACCTTGTCTAAGGTGTCCAGGTCAATCGTGTAGGCGAAGTCCATCTCGTTGGCGCCCCTGTTGATACCTTCGAACTTGTCGGAGATCTTGATGGCAACACCAGGATTGAGGGGGGACCCAAAGTGCCATGGTTCTCGGTACTGACCATTAGGCTTGAGAGGGACGTTTTCGGTGAGTGAGCTGCTGAGCCACTGGGGTACAGACCAGATGTAGACCGTGTATGGGCAATGGTTGGTGACGATAGCTCCGGCATGAGCCAGAGCCGCGAGTGCGAGGACGAAGAAGGCTTGTCCGAGCATTGTGTTGAAGAGGTTCGATATGAGAGATGATGCAGTCAGCAGTAGCAGTAGAATACACTGGAGAAGGGGTTGGAGAAGAAGAGACTCGGGATGGGAGGTGGAGTTTATGAGCGGTAGAACGTGTGTTTACGTGTCGTCATAACGAACGCAGGAAATTGTAACATCGCCCGTTGCTGCCATAAGTTGGAAAGATTTGGGGAGGTGCGCCGGATGCGTTGGAAGGTAGCTCATGCATTTCGTGAAGTCTTCCAAGCCGATTGCTACCCTAGCTTTCGGTTAGACATCCAGAGATATCGGTACGCAGCCATTGGAAGATGCCCCAGCTGCCGTAGCCGATTCTTAGATGCTAGAAAAGTGTGGATCCATTCTTCGAGGTCCATGGTGCTTGCTCATGTAGCTTGAAAGGCGATCACGATCTCGCAAGATCGCTTTCCTGGCGCAGCAGGTCCAATTCGGGAGTCGCCTTCTCCTTACCAGTATGAACTACCACCGTGTCTCGAGAAGGAGAGCACGATCAATAACCACGGTCGGTTCAAGGGAAGCCCCGGGGCTGGTATCTGGTGATCAGGAGATGAAGCGCGTCGGCGCACGGCGGTGATACTTCCCCACCTGTGCGTGCTTTGGCACAAGGAGACTTCAGCAACGCGTTATCACCAAAGAAATGGTCGCATAGATTGCCATGCACGATGGGTGATCTCTTGAACTCCATGGTGGTGGTTGTATTGTGGGTTTGGGGTTGGTGTGGACAGATGCGCACGGCAAGGGAAGTCGCTTACTCAGCCCCTCACTCACAGCTTGAAGCACTCCGGCTAGCGTCCTGGAGACCTGAGGCGCGAATGAAACACTGCAAACCTCAGCATCAGCGACTGTACAATAAGAACAGAATGGCCCCGTATACTGTTTGCGCAAATTGCGCATTCTCACACATCTCACTTTTCGCTCCTGGGTAGCATTGTCGCCGTAATACATACTTTCAACGTCCGATTCGCGTCCAAGCCTCAACTACGCGCCGACGCGCCCCACCATCCTCCATGATCCAACAATCCTCTTGTATCGACATGCCCACCATGTCTTCCTCAATAAGGGAAGTACCCGTCCAGCTACCGAAGAGCTTCGACCGACCCGACGAGCCATGGCACCACTACATCAATGTCGACCTGATATGGTACGTCCTCGGATACACGGTCTTCCATCCGTTCGTATCATGGGTCGTGGTCTTGTGTCTGCGCGCGCAGTACACGCCTTATGAGAACATCGAGATGCGCATTGCCATGGCTTGGGCTATGCTCATGACCGTCACCGGTATCTTCGGGCTCATCAGCGATCGGATCGCATGGGGATCACCGCGCGAGGTGGACCTAGAGGAAGAGGTTATTGTCATAACCGGCGGTGTTGACGGCCTCGGCGGACTATTGGCAGAGACCTATGGAATGCGCAATGCCAACATCGCCGTCCTAGACATGAAGGAGGTTGACGAAGATGAGGCGGAGAACAAGGGCGTGGTTTACTACAAATGCGACGTGAGCGATGCAAAGCAGGTTGAAGCTGCCGTAGCCAAGATTGTCGACGACGTGAGTATTCCTCTGCTAGGAGACCGCACTCTGCTAACGTGTATAGCTCGGCGCTCCGACGATCTTGATCAACAACGCTGGTATGGTGCAGACCAAGTCAATCCTCGACTCAACCGCTGAAGATGTGGAGCGGTATGTATGCTCTGGAATCCCTATTGACATCTGCTGATACCTCAACAGCACCTTCCGTGTCAACACCCTGTCTCAATTCACCACCCTCCGTACAATCCTCCCGCACATGCTGAAGGAAGGCCGCGGCACCATCGTAACCGTCTCCTCCGTCCTCGGCCACCTCGGTGCAGCCAACCTATCCGCATACACAGCTTCAAAAGCGGCCCTTTTGGCGCTGCACCACTCGCTTCGCGCGGAGCTTGCACAAAACCCCGCCGCAAAGGACATCAAGACAATCCTCGTACAACCCGGTCAGATGGGCACAACCATGTTTGCAGGCCTCAAGACCCCAAGCAACTTCCTAGCGCCTGTGGTTACGCCTGCCGATATTGGAAAGGACATCATCAAGCTGATTGAGCGGGGTGAGAGCGGCGAGATTGCGCTGCCTCTATACTCAAAGTATATCCAGATCCTTGGTGTACTGCCTGTCGGCGTGAATCATCTTGTGCGGAAGTGGAGTGGCATGGATAAGGCTGTCGGTAAGATGGGTGAAATGAGGCAGAGGCAGAGTCTGATGGAGAAGAAATAACGGCCTTGCTGATACTCACGATCTAATGACCTACATACGCGGGTGGTCTCGGATTAATGTACAATATACGCTCATGATCTATGCGACTTAATGTCATATGCGACTCCACTGGTATCTTTGTTTCAACCTTGCAATCACACTTGCTACTGTGTTACCATTACGGCATGTGTCCGCATCGTGCCAGTGTTCACATGTGAACGATGGTTTGCGGGGACCACTAGCGCCGTAGGGCTGATCTTAGCGAGCGCTCGCACATCTCGACCCTGAAATCGCGACGACGACATCATCATCACCACAGACAAATGTAAGAAGATACGGGGTTATTCTATTTGGTCTAGCGAATTTGCATGCGACACGTACTAATTGACTACCAGACTTCCCCCGCCTCAAATCAACACAATGGCCGACCAGAAAGCATCCAAGTACTACGCTGCCGAGGAGGAGGCGCAGATGAAGAAGGTACGCGCATTTCTCGTGATAAATTTTGAGCTGTCGAAAAGACACACAAATGTATATGTTGGCGTTGTCGCGAATATCAAGCTAACAACCCGATTCACAGGCGCGCAAGACAGCCCACCCCACCAAGTACCGCGAGTCGCTCGCCCCAGGAACCGTCCTGATCCTCCTCTCCGGCCGCTTCCGCGGTAAGCGCGTCGTGCTCCTGCGCCAGCTCGATCAAGGCGTCCTCCTCATCACCGGCCCCTTCAAGTCCAACGGCGTCCCCCTGCGTCGCGTCAACCATCGCTACGTCATCGCGACCTCGACCGTCGTCGACATCGCTGGTCTGGACGAGGAAGTCGTCGCACGCGTGAGCAAGGACGAGTATTGGGCGCGCGAGAAGAAGGACGGCAAGGGCGAGGACGACTTCTTCAAGGACGGCGAGACACCCGCAAAGAAGGAGACAGATCCTCAGCGGATAGAAGACCAGAAGAAGGTGGACAAGGCGCTTATGGCTAACATCAAGAGGACTCCTGATCTGGAGTCTTACCTCGGTGCTAGCTTCGCGTTGAGGAGCAGCGATAGGCCGCATGAGATGGTCTTCTAGGCGTCAGCACGAGAACGGGGCGAAAATGGAGCGAGGACGAGACGAAAACGAGGCGGATATCTGCGGCAACGGTCCGACCGGGAACGACGGTTCGAACGAGGATGAGCACCCGGACGCTACGAGCGATACGGTACGATTTCATATGTAGATGAGATACCCATGAACCAAAATTTGAGCACCAACTCCGTCTTGCTCGCATCTTCGCGAACGATTCCAGTTACCCTGGCAATTTTCATTCCGCTAACACGCCTCCTTGCATGGAGGTCATAATTGATATCGCAATCGGTATGGGTTGTTGGTTCGCTATTTTCTGTTTCGATACTGACCTTGTCCAGATTTATGTACTGTGATCCAATCGCAGTGCCTGCCTGACATCATCTGTAGTACATCTTTGTGCCTGGACCTGTGTGGCTGTATACAACGTATGTACCCCTCACTTACAGCGACAGGCTCTACGAAAGTTATTCCTAGTCCTGGGCTGTACCCGGCCTCTACAGGCAGGTTTGACGATCTACATCCTTTGAACTGACGAATAGTATATCGTGTTTCGCTGATGGTGTGGATCAACTGCAGATGAAAGCGTTTCAAGTAGCGTGCCAATGTGGCACAGTTGTACACATGTACAGTCCGCAGTACCCCTCCGTATCAATGCAGTACACCACCGCCGGGGTACTTGCGGTCTCTATCTCTGGCAGCCCTGTTAAACAGACTGAGCCCGCATGTGTGTCGGCCTATACTCTATCCAAATCACTTCTATCGTTCCTACTTCCCCACAACCATGGAGAAAGGACTACTCAACGAACAAGAAAAGGACTCGCAGCCATCGCAGCCCCCACATCCATCCTCGTGGAGAACCGGGTTCTGGCGCCGCTTTCCCCATTCCGGAATTTTCGCTCTTGCCACCGCGCTGGCTGCGTCTGTCAGCATGATATACATCATCACCGCCTCAGATGGACAGCCTATTACCTCTTGGAAGTACCAGCCCACCGTTTGTCTCGCCATCTCGTACACAATCGCCAATATCGCTTTACAATACGCCCTCGCGCAGGCTATCACTATCGCGTGGTGGGTGAAAGCCCTGAAGGGCGACGCCAAAGTCAAGGATCTGCACGATATCTGGGCATTTGGGCATGGAGTCGTTCCGATACTGCGATCGGGACGGTCTTTCAATCTTGTCGCTTTGGCTGGACTCGCTGTTACGCTGGCGCCTATCAACGGACCTCTTTTGCAACGCGCTTCTGTCATTCACGAGCGAACGCAGGTCGAGATGAAGAATATCACTATAGCCGTCGCAGGAGAGATTCCCGTGGGCTATACGGGTGCTTACAGCAATCTCGAGAATCCTACTTTGATGTCACCTTCGTTTAGCGAAATTGCCATGCAGCATACTGATGGCCGATCTATGAATGTCTCAGGTTCAGGCTGTGAAGGCCTGTGCAAGGGCACATTACGTGGCGCCGGCTATGACATGCGCTGTATGCAGGATAGCATTGGCAATTACAACTATTCTGCGTTTGGTGGTAGTTGGGTTACGAAGGCAGATATCTTCTGGTCAAACTTCACTACCGAATATGCTCCTTTTGAAGGTCAAGAGATAGTCATGAACTTCACTGCAATCTACAAAGGCGATGAGGGGTGTTTTGCGCCAATCAACAGAACCAATTGCGAGCTGCGGCCTGCCACTATGGAGTATCCCTTCATATTAAGCAACGATTCGATCACTCTAGACCCAGACAGCTCATGGAGATCCGACCGAGTGCTGGCTCTTCACTCACCCTGGATTGACTCGGACTCAGACTATCGAGTTCAGAGTACTTATTCTGGTGTGTATCTTTATCTAGATGCACAGTGGAATTCAAACATGTACACGTACATTGCTGGCGGCCCTCTAGGCTGGAGAGGCTACACCTCCGGAACGACTGCACTCAGATATATGAAAGACTTTGTGGGCCTGGACGCCGGCTTTTGTGAAATGAAGCTTCCAGATCCGACATCCGATGTCCTGACGTCAGTACGCGAGCTGGCTTTTCGAACCGCCCTATACATACCTCATACAAAGGGTGATATCATGAAAGTGAATCCAGAACCTTACGTCGACAGTCCATACTACTTCTTCGTACCAATAAGTGAGTCGGAAAAAAAGCGTATGTTCGAACAAACAGTCGAGATCGAGCAGACCGCGAAAGACATCGTGTTCAAGAGTCAATACCCATTCCTCGCCCTTGCCATAGGCATTACGCTAGTAGCAACGGGCTGTGTTTTCACAGTATTAGCGGGATGGTGGCATCTAGGTCGCGAGGTGTCACTCTCACCAATCGAAATTGCAAGAGCCTTCAACGCGCCGCTTCTTGCTGATTCGCATCCCAATGCAGAGGTTAGGAGGCTACTCGAGGAATGCGGCGATCAACGATTGAGATACGGAGTAGTGTGGGAGAATCCTGACTATCCCGTGACTTCGATACCGACCCTGAGATTGGAGAAGACGGAGCTTTGCGAGAAACCGCGGCATGGACAGGTGCTAGGTCATTAGCCTTTTCTGTACCTAAGAATTGCAACAGACTACCAGGAGACGACTCTTGGTGTATTCAAATGAATGCATCCACATCAACCGTCGCTCTCGTGTTTCCTCGATCGTTCGGATGACGTTTGTATCTCGTGGCAGCACCTGCCCTGTAAGATCGTGCGATGGCGTCATTGTGGGATGAGGCTGTGGCTGAGACTTCCTACAACTGCTCATGTACTACCTCGCGACTACTTCTTCCAACGAACCCCGTTTCCTTGGCGATGAGATGAAATCATCCCATATGGATACCATCAGGCCATGTGATAAGGCAGTGACAAGGCCACTTGATGACCTCACTCTAGTGCCAGCTGCATGTCAGCCACACTCAACTTCGACACACACCCTTTTACACCTTTACCTACGCACTCTCTTCCGAATAAAAACGGTCTGATGCTTCCTCTTCAGGAACTGGCCCAGGACGCCAGTGGCCAAGCCAGTCCCACTCATCACGAGACACGCGGTTCTTTGAGTGGCACTACTCGTAGTGTTGTGTCCGATGATAGCGCACACGATGTATGTGACTGCCTCAACGTGGAAAGAGCCGCAGCTAAAACGTATGACAGGAGAAGCTTGTGCAGTTTCTGGCATCATCTACCAATGATGAAACCAATACGAGTAGTCTGCTCAAAACGTTGTGCAGAGACATGGAACAGCCGGTGTACTCATCACTAGGGGATCGATGTAAACCCGCCTCACTCTGTGCCAGTTTCTACGACTGACATGAGCCAGACAAATACCGATCCGCCGATGGTAGCAACAACAACATACATTTGCCTAACGTCGGCAAGGCCGGTTCTTACTACGCGCGCATGGTCACTCCAAGACACATACCTACAAAGCTCCCCGATCCGGAACTGCTGTTCGATACACTGCTCGCGCGAGAAGCCAAACCAACACCACACCCCAGCCAACTATCGAGTCTGTTCTTCGCCTTCGCAGCCGTCATAGTATGCGATGTGTTTCGTACAGGCGACGAAGATAGCGATGTGGCCATGACATCCTCATATCTGGACCTCTCGTCACTATACGGGGAGTCCGAGGAAGCACAAAGCATGGTCCGTACTTTCGTCGATGGAAAGTTGAAGCCGGATGCATTCGCTGATACGAGGATCCTCAGCCGGCCAGCAGCGGTAAGATACGCGCTCTAGTCTGTTGTGTAGTTGCTTATCATCGGTAGTCCTCTGCTCTGATCGTATGTTTTTCGCGGTTTCACAACATCGTTGTCGAGCAACTGGCCATCATCAATGAGAACGGTCGATTCAGCCCTCCCTGCAACGCGGCTGGCATTGACACTGGTTTCTACAAGAGAGCTCTTGCCAAGCGTGACAACGACCTCTTCCAGACTGCACGGCTGGTAACAACGGGCTTGTACATCAATATCGTCCTGAAAGACTACGTGCGCACCATCCTCAACCTACAGTGCGTAGATTCCTCGGTGACCTTAGATCCACGAGCAAAGATAGAGGGTATCATTGGGCAGACAGATGTCGACAAGGCCCGTGGCAACCAGACAAGTGCCGAGATCAACATGATCTATCGGTGGCATTCGTCCATATCGAAGAAGGATGAGGACTGGCTCACGGATCACATGTCTATGATATGCCCAGATACGAATATTGGCCATTTGACGTTGGAAGATATGCGAGCTGGCATACGTCGCCACGCTGCGATACCGCCTGCAGATCCTGGTCGGCGTGTCTTTGCTGGCCTCGAGAGGAAGAACGACGGCTACTTCAACGACGAAGATATCGTTCAGATACTTACAGAAGCCACGGATGAAGTCGCCATGAGCTTTGGTCCTCACCGTGTCCCTCTGGCGTTGAAGGTCATCGAAGTAATGAGTATTGAGCAAGCTCGGCAGTGGGGCGTGGCTTCTCTCAATGAGACCAGAAGATTCTTCGGGATGACCTCTCACACCTCGTTCAGCGATATTCACTCCGACCCTGACGTCGCTGCCGCGCTCGAAGTCTTGTACGAAGATGTTGAGAACGTCGAGCTATATGCCGGAACTATTCTGGAAGAGCCAACTGCCCCGATGACTCCGGGATCAGGCTTGTGTGCAGGAACGACGGCGACCAGAGCAGTGGTGTCACATGCGCTCTCTCTTATTCGGGGTGATCGATTCTACACCGTGGACTACACCCCGCACCACCTGACAGCTTTTGGGTTCAACGCAGCTTCCAGCGAATACTCGATTGATGGCGGAGGTGTCTTGTACAAGCTACTGATGAGAGTCTTTCCCGAATACTATCGTGGCAACTCGATTTACGCGCACTACCCGCTGACCACGCCTGTGGAGATGAGACGACGACAGAAGTCTCTCGGACACGAGACAGATTTCTGCTATGAGAAGCCTCGCTACGGGTCGCCTCCCACAGTCATCACCGATTACAAGATGATCCTCCGTATTCTTCGTGACCAGACTTTGTACACGACAGCGTGGACTCACACCCTGCGGCAATTAGAGTATCAACCACATGTCCTGCTTGGTAACACTATCGCTGCTGTCAAACAGCAAGACATCATTCGGCAAGCTATACTCGGGCCCGAGGAGTCGATAGAAATCTTTGCGCACTTCCTCAACCTGAAGACCACCCAGCTCGTGCAGAACAACAGCAAGTGGCTTTTCAAAGTTGCCGAGATAGATGCAATCAAAGACGTGGCAGCTCGCAGTTGGACACAATTTGCTGCGTGTCTGTTCAATATCCCGATCAACGACTCGCAAGATTCAACGGCCAGCTTTGATGACAAGCAGCTCTTCAACAAGATGATAGCAGTGTTTCACTTTGTTCATCTAGACAACAACCCTGCGAAGTCTGCCGCACTCCGGAGAGATGCAATCGCTGCAAGCGATGAAATGTCGAAAGAGGTCAGGGTTGTTTGCGAAGGGATGAAAGCATCACCCGCTGTGCAGTTTCCGGATCCCCGCAAACGACGACATGCGAAGCGCAATCTCATGCCAGACCATGGAGCGAAAGTGATGCAACGGCTCTTCGAAAATGGGGCAAAGGTCAAAGAAGTTGTCTCTCTAGTGGTCATACTTGCTGTTGATCTTGTTGTGTTCAGCACCTTTGCCGTAAGCCTAGAAGTCGCTTCATGCATAAGCCCCTGCTGATCATTACTAGTTCTGCCAAATCATCGATCTCTTCCTCTCAGAACCTTATCATTCTACGCACTGGCCGGACATTCAGAAATTGGCGAAGAATATTACACCAGCAAATTCCGAGGTACTGCGCGCATACGTGCTTGAAGCTCTGCGCCTTATTACACCCGCGACTGGCTTCCTCCGCATTCCTAACACCTTTCTCACCACTAGCGACTGGCGACACGCAGAGGGTATAAACAAGGGTGACGACCTTATTCTCGACGTGGCAGCTGCATCTCGCGACCCCGCGATCTTTCCTGATCCCGACAACATCAACCTCGACCGTCCACACGAGCTATATCTACCATTCATCGACGGGCTACACGGAGCACTGACCAGACCTATCATCGTTGCTGGTTTAGTCACCCAGTTGCGCATCTTTGCTCGGATGGAAGGTCTCAGAAAGGGGCCAGGTACGCAAGAAACGTTGAGGCGGGAGGTTCAAGAGGGTACTGTGAGCTTTTTGAGCGAGGCTAAAGATGAGTGGGTGCCACTGCCAGTCAGTAAGTACAGATCCGCCACATGACCTGTATGTGGGAATTCTAATCATCTGGAATAGGCATGCGAGTTCACTACGACACCTTCGATCCTACTGCGTGCGCGACCTTGTCCTGATGAGTACTATGATGGACATCATATGATCGGAAGAATGATAGAGACGCCACACCTCCAACCAAACGAGTTACATAGTAGTCTCAAAGATGTATCCTTAGTCTCCTACCACTATACCTCCGCTTTTCTTCACATTCGAATCTCGCGACTCGTTACACATTAGTCATATAATTACTCTAATCCCTCGAGCTCTATATCTAGGTATCTGGATCGAACGAATCACCGTGAGTGAAATAACACCCAGGTTCATCGCGACTCTTGTAGCGAAACGCACAAACCGTTCCACACTGACAGCTTGGGGGCCTAATGTAAGGTCAGCATTCATGAGAGACAACTTACAGGTACCTCGGTACTCACAATTCTTCATCCGAGGTGTCAAAGATGGCTTTCAACGCCGCGTCCTGGTCGTGATCGCGCTGGCCTTTGAAGATCGCCTCCCACTTCTCTTTCGTAACCGTCTTCACAGCGCCGGTCAACGTCACCATCAGTCTCTCTTTCAAGGCCTCTTCTTTGCACTTGTCAATCAGGAAGGGATATGCGAAATTGCAGATCCAGTCCACCGTCGTACGCTGACAGCAAATGTAGTCCTCCCCTCCATAGCAAGAAAATCGATCGTGTTCGTATGCACTGCCCCATTGGCTGCCCTGGTAGCCGTCATCCGGCGTTCGAAAGCGAAGACGTAAGTCGCGGAGGTTGTCAAGCTTACGAAGATAGGAACCTTGAGACTGAGCCCAGCCAGTATTGATTCCGAACGGGTGACAATTCATATTGACACCGAAGAAAGTAAACCACTCTTTATTAGTGAAGCTCAACTCAATTTTGCTCAGGTATTGGTAAGCCGCAGCTGAGCCCGGTTGTGCTTCCGTGGCTAGGGTAAATAGCTTTGGCTCGAAGAACCGGCTACGCATTCGTACCCAGGCGAAGTGAAGAAACTCGTCGCGGATCGTGGAGTTGACTGCCGAAAGCGAGTTATCCGGCCCATATACGAAAGGTCGATCTTCTGACATCTGGTCGTTATCCCACGGAGACGCCAATAATGCGTCACCCTTTCGATGCCAAAACAGACCCCGGTGATAGCCCAGCCCTAGCGTTAGCTGGGCTTCAGGTTCGGTCGTTCCGTCAAGAGACGAGTCTGGGCGACAAGCAGCGATGCAGTGACTGCTTAGCGGATATACTTCACCGCCAAGCGCGGCCTTGTATATCTTCTCTCGAATCTCAGCCGGGAAGTCCTCAAAGCGACATTTGCTGCCCTTATGTTTATACCACCTGAACTGCAAGTGATAGCCAAGGCGACCGAGCCATTTGCGCGACTTGATATTCTTCGCGAGCCAATCACCGAAAGAAATCCATTTCTTCTTTGTCTGTCTCGTAGATGTGGACAGTTTCAGCAGTCGGTGGTGAGCCGCTCGGCAGAATGGTAACCCACTTCGCCTCTTTCACACTGTCTTTCTCAACGACCTCAAAGTAGTAAGACTTGATATCGAAGAGATTCATATAGGGCGGCCACAGCGGCGGCGCGTCGTTCACAGGTCGGATGTTCACCCGCAGGGCGAAAGCAGCAAAGCTGTGTTTCTTCGGCTCGATCATCGTGTGGTACATCGTAGCGAGTACGGGATCGTTAAAGTGCCATCCTTTGTTGAAATCGTACGTGGTCTCGTCGGTGAAGCGGCCGACTTGTCCATCGCGTGGACATTGCATCATCTCGAGCGCGCAGGTGATCTTGTCGTTGCGCGCATCGGGGAGGACGCGGTTGTACTTGCGAGGGCGCTTTGCGAGATCGTCGTCGGCTGGAGGATCAAATATTGCTAGGCGGCTTAAGAAGAAGGTTGGTGCTGCTGCGTTGAGCGTCGAGGATTTGACGGGTACGAAGGGGGGTGCGGTGGCGGAGAGCTTTGGGCTCGTTGCCTCCACAGCGGCTTCGAGGAAGGTGTCAGAGTTGCATCGTTGAGTGGCAGAGTCGATAGTAGCCACATTCGAGGGAAGAGTGTTGTAATCGTGTTGCCAGTGCTCGTTAGAATGATCTGGTGGGCTCAAGGGGGTCATCTCGAAGCTGCTCGAGTATTGTTGAACGGGATAACCGTGATAGCCGACGGGCGAATGCACATGGTAATTCCAATACTGAGATGGTACGAACAGTGGTATCCGAGGAAGAGTGGGACTAGCCATGTCGTGTTCGGTGCCTGACTGAGAGTGGTAGTCAGGGTCGAAAGGCTTAGCGGAGAGACCAGAAGCAGCCATTTCGGACATCGTCTTAGAGTTGAGGAAGTTGATGGGCCTTGTAATTGAGTGTATTTTATAGATTAGGGCTTGATAGATCCGAGCATATGCACAGGGAGGTGATACTGGCGCCAAATAATGGGTACGGTCTGTGCATCTAGCTGTAGGCAGTAGTAATAGAGAATGGAGTGGCGGATACGGAGGCTTCACTTTGCTTTCTCTAGCTTCTTCCGTGTTAGTTGGTCTACTAAACATACAGAACGGCTGGTCGAAATACCTGGTGCGTTAGAGCCACAAAAAACAACAATTAGATTGGTCAAGAACGGACGTTGCTCAAGCGGTACAGTGGATGGAGACAACTCCAAACCCCAGAAACGCCTCGCTATACCAATACTCCAAGACTAACTGAGCTGCCTTGCACTATACTCACCACAACAGATAAGCGCCAACGAATAATGAAGCCATGAAAAGCTCTCCACTTCTCAGCATACGCGCCGCACTGGTACTCTCCGTGCCACAGCACGACTGCTCGTTGTACGTGACGTTGTTGGCCGTCGCAGCAACCTGGAAGACAGATCCATTAAAGTTGCCATAGTTGTAGTAGTCGACCAGTATCCAATTCGGCGGACGATTCCACATTTTCTCGCAGTTTTGTACGTTGAGGCCAACACTGCCGTTTCCAGACACAGCATTGATCTCATCGAGGAGGGAGTATGCTGGTATGAGGATGCTGCTCACGCCTGGGAGACTGACTTCGATGTTCAGGTTGTGGTTCATCACGTACATGCGCTCGCGTGAGACTCCTTCTGGCTGATTTGGGGGTCTTTGCTCCGTACAAGGGAACGCGGGATCGGTTGGCGAAAAGGGTGTTTGCCACTGATAGTTGAATTCGCTGAGCAGCCACGGGACTTGTTCCTGGTCTGCGCCATAGTCCAACATCACCACGACACGCTTATTCCTAATAATCATCTCGGCCAATGTGGGCCAGTCCGTCAGGTTCAGACTAGCCGAGGGTGGTGTCCATACGTATTCCATTATTCCCGAGGCTTGGAAAGGTGCAATATAGTCTGTCGCTGGGTTTCGAGTGTCCTGACCGTTGTTGTTGCCCATCATGATGGCAATGACCTCGAACGGGTTTTGGTCGAGCCAGCTTTTGACCGTTGCGAGGTATGATTGGAGGGTGCCCACGTCGAGCAGGTTACAGGAGGTATGACAGAGGCGTATAGCGGAAGTCTCGTTGGGTTTCTGGGTCTCGAACTGCACTATTGTTGAACGTCAGCCAGAGTTTTCCGGTATCGTGTATGATGCGCTTACACCCTCGAACTCCATCATTGAGCTGATTAAGCACTGGGTAGTCTTGGTTGCTGGCTGCATTGTGCGGCCTCACGAATGGGCTGTTATGTGCGACAACCATAGAGATGTTGGAAAACCTCCTCTGGCAAAACTCGACGTATCCATTGCATGGCTGAGTATTAGTCGGGCTTGGACGAGCAGATGTCGTGGTTGTTGAAGCAGTGCCGTTTGAGGATTCGGTCGAAGGAGACAGTCCGACTATGGCTGTCACCTCTTGTGTTGTCGTCGACGAGGTAGCGGTGGCATTCTGCCGTCCGGAGGTAAACGTGCTCAGGACAATGCCCGGGAGACCGCTCGAGAAGTCGGCGGAGTAGGTGCTCGTAAAGGTACTGGAGACATCGACGATCGTTCCAGTAGAACTGCTAGGTATAGGCGTATTTGGCACGGAGGAGGGAGAAGACTGTGCGGTTATAGGTATTGTAAGTAAGGCCAAAGGGAAGAAAAACAATGTAGGAATCATGAGGGCGATGCGATGCGAAAGAATGACGAAGTGCTGGTTAGCAAGTGCTATGCAATGCCGGCATACAATTAATGCTACGCGCTGTACTTATCGAGAGACGATGTCGAGACAGTCTGCCTTACCAGCACGACGTTGGTGGTTCACCTTAGCTGACATTCGCCGGAAAGCACGATGACGGCATTGCTCGCCTCGAACGCCATCACACGTTGTGTCGGATCTACGCGGGGAAGGCTGAATGCGACCATCTCGAAGGCCTATCCGTCCTGGGGAACGCCTTTTGAGCTGGTCGGAGATTTATATGGGTCCAATAGCAGCTACACAATGGCTTGTCGCGAACATTGACTGCAGTTGGGCTGGCTCTCGCGGCCGGAGGTTTGTGGCGGTTTTGGCGTACGCGGCTCTCAAGAGCCGCGTCGTGAGGCATTTTGACACGTCATTAGCCCCCAACCACTGTGGAAGACGGTCGGTAAAGTCATTGAACGAAAAAGAGATCTCGGAAGTGCTGAAAGCCCATTGCGCTGTGGCCGTGTAGAGAGAGGCTGGGGTTGAGTGCGCGACATGGAAGACGCCCAGCCTCGCGTGATACGCTAACCGTCTAAGCTTCAGGGACTGAGGGTCAAGCCTCACGGAGGTCTACCCCAATTGCTTCAGCCTATGAATTTGAGCTTTAGGCCAACTAGGCGCACGGCTTCCACCAGAGCTCTCGTCGCCTTTTTGCTCTCTAATGTGTTGTTTCCTTATTTCCGGAGGCATTCACACACAACTCCTGGAGGGCACTTGGAGGGCTCGTTGTAGCCTCAACAACAAAGAGCATGCCGGCCGAGCCTACTGAACACTTTGGCATTGGAGACACGGAAATGAAATTTTGGCCCGAAGAATAATCAGCTTTGGTTGTCACATAGAAGTCGTGCTTCTTCCTGTCATTATTCTACTGATCCCAACAGCCGTAACATCGACGCAGGTCCATCTCACATCCGGATTCGCCGCAAACCTCCATCTACCATCTGATCGACGAAGAGGGCAATGCGCCTTGGGCTCACACTAGAAGCCTGAACTCAGTTCGGGCAATCTCTCACACGAACACCCTCTTGACCCCAATCTTGACACAACTCGGCGGATCTAGCAAAAGCAGTCAGCACAGACTCACCACCCTGACATCAACATCTACCGAAAACAAAAAGCAACAAACTTACCAGGTTTCCCAACCCCTGTCCCCCATACCAAAGTCTGCCTAACATACCCCGTCCCATAGTACGTGAAGCAAACCCACCAGCGATAGTACCCCGTCCACTCACCCATACCCGGCTTCTCAGTCCCCCAAGTAATCGGATTCTGGAAGTTCAGTATGTCGTTGCTGTCGAAGGAAAGGCTGCCGTCGCCATTGTAGGTCATGGCGAGTTGGGCAATGGATAGAGGGACGATGTCTTGGGGTTGGAGGAGCACGGAAAGGTCGATGGGGTAGGGGTCGTAGGGGATGGTCCAGGAGAGAATGCCTTGGGTGCCGAAGGTCTGGGTGGGGTGTTAGCGGGTGTGGGGATGGGTGCTGCGAGTTTCTTTTGGTGGATGGTAGGGCTGATGGGGAAAGCAGGGCAGATGTGTATGGGAGACGTACGTTCGTGATGGCAGTGTCGGTTGTGTTGTGGGTTAGGACAACGGGATACTGGGCCCCTTCTTCTGAAAGCGTGGGGCAGAGGGTGAAGACTGCTGCACCTGCATGGCATGCGGATAGTGTGGTGCCGTTCAGGGAAATATCCTCGGATAGGAGGACGACGTTGAAGGGGTTAGACTGTATGGTGTAGATGGGTTCACAATCGTACGTGCAATCGGCGCGAATAAGGGCTGCGAGAGCAAGTATGATGGGCAGGATACTGAACATGGCAGCGGTAATTTGTGCAGCGAGTACGGGTGCAGGACGAAACAGCAAGCTAGAGGGAAAGGATGTTGGCTTATAGAGGTCTGTAGAGGAGGACATTGGATCACATCAAGATGATTGGCATCTATCAGAACGTACACGTGGAACGGATTGCGCATGTCAAAGGAGTGTCATTATCTATTAGTATTAGCTGCGTAGCACGTTGAGTCGTAAATCCCGATTGGGTCCTCCACCATCTCCGCTCCTCTCATCCAACCATTACGGAACAGCTTCTTCCATCACAATCTTCCGTCTTAGACAAACACCCTCGTCACGTTGACCGAGACGCAGGTTGGGTTGTCTGGCTTGCCCGCACCCAGTCCCCATGCCAAGTTGTTGTACCTGTAGCTGGCATAATCTGTGTCGCAAGCATACCAGCGGTAGAATTCCTGGTAGTTGCCTGTATTGTTCTCGCCACGGACGTAGGCCTGATACGTAAGTTCGTCCTGGGAGTCGAAAGCCAGCATCGTTGTATCGCTTCCGCTTCCGGGGCTGAGAGTGATGCCTGCAAGGTTGGAAGTTGGGTCGAGGTTGAAAGCCGCTGATGAGGGAATGTCGAGGGTAGTGGTGTTCAACCACCAGGTCAAGATGCCTGGTACGCCGAAGCCCTCCTCTGGTGCTTGAGAGTAGACAGATGTGTTGAATTGGAATTGTGCGCCGTCGAGAGGTTCTGGGCTGTCACCTACGCCGGCGTTGCTGATGCAGAGTGATTCGATGGCTGCACCGACGTGACAGGCGCTTAGCGTATCATTGACCTTTCCGTCTTCGGATGTGACGACAAGGAAGAATGGTGCAGAGCTGATGTTGTAGAACGGATCCTGTGCGCTCGTAACGGCAGTTGCTGCAAGGGTGAGGGCGATGGATGAGGTCTTCATTTCGAACGATGCTGGTTGGTTTTGTAGGTGGTCGATGCGATGATAGAATTTCTGAGGTATGCTAGGCGTTGATTGAGTACGTAGGAGTTGATGAGTGCAGTTTTCCAGCAACGGCACGGTCAAGCTTTATACTCACGATCATCCTTCGTAGTCGCCGTATTCGCGCAGCCTCATCGCAGCTCCCTCCAAAGGTTCCACCTGCGCAGCAGTCATGTGTTCCACCATAACGGGCCCCAGCCAGCCCATGACGTTCCGCTACCCGTTAGCTTTGGCCGCCTTGCCACACCCATGATGATCCTTTCCAGTCGGCTGCGTTCGCTCCGTATGCAGTACCGCACGGCATGCCCGATGAGGGTCAGCGCAACTCAATCAGGGCAGTTATAGACCAAACCCCGCGCGTTAGCGAGCGAAGCTTTCCCCAGCCTGCCGGATAAGTCTTGCATAAGTGCCACAAGTGCCACAGCCGCACAGGACCTCAGGGTGCATGTAGCGTAAAGATCAGCTGTCAATACGAGGCTTGAAATCGATAGCTCAGTACCGAATCTGCAGGTGAAAAAAGTAATGGTGCGGCGAAAAAAGCTGAGTTCGTGAGCGTGAGCAATATGAGAGGCATCATAAGCACTGCTTTGGCAGGCTGATTAAGCCTAGAACGAGGTCGTAAATGAAATTGCTCGTGATGTGCTGATGCATCCAATATTGTGTAAATTGTGCATCCTCGTACCATGATGGAGATGGAGGAAAGTGGACTGTTGCTCTCCTTCAATGACGCAAGAGTTCAGGCCGGTTGTAAGCCGGAGTTACTGCTTAGCGCCAAATCTTATCGATTCTAAACTCGCCGGAGGTGTGACATCGTCTACGGCATCAGATTTACACCCTCACACCAACTACGAAATGAACGACTGCGTTCGGGTTACTGCTCTCGCGATAGTCAGCTCTTACTCCACGTTTCCGCCACTACCTTCCGTCTATGAACAGATCGGTTGCGATACCTAATAATACACGGAGTGCTGGACGCGTAGAATACTAAGAACAGAGCTATAAAGCCAGTCTCAAGCCACCGTTGCAACTCTATACTCCTAGGGTGAGTCAAGAGCTTACGGTTACACACTATGAGCCGTATGTATGATTGAGGACCTTGTTCCATTGACATCAGAGCGCTGACTGACAACGACGCAGTATCGCAATAGCCCGCTCAATCACCCATGATGTAACCACGAGTTCCGCACTCCTCCTCGTATCGCCGCAACACCCAGCTTCGTCGTATCATCAGCTCTGTCAGCCGATAGACTACCACACTAGCGATGCCTTGCTCCGCCATCATATCCACTGGCACCCAGCGCAGTAGCTGGCTCGTCGTCAGCATGTGCGCTCCTCCTCTCGGCCGAGTCCCGCGATACACTGTCATAAGCAAGTTTTGGTTGCGTCCAGTACCAACAGGCCCATGTGATCCAGCAGAAGATGACATCGAATCCCACGCTGCTCACTGCTGGGTGTTCTAGCAGAGCACTTTGGATTCCCACAAAACCACCATAGGCATACGCTGTTGCAGTAGTCCATGCCAGCATCAGTCCAGCATTCCCTAGGACCAGTGCCCACATGTAGCTATAGACCTTGTCGGTGAATTGGATATCTTCGATGAAGGATGAGGCCGGTACAACAGCGCGTGCAATGGGCAACAGCATCAAAGCGATGTGTGGAGCCATGAGCACCGGCATGAAGTGCGTGGGATGATGCCAGTAGTGTTCATCTGCCAATTGCATCGCGGGATAAGCAGTTGCGAAGATCGCGAAGAGGTTAAGAAGCCATGGACCCAACCACGTTTGCCGACGTGAACCAGATGAAGATGGAGGTAGTGCCGGCGGGCTCAAGAGCAAGGTGAGCAGGAAGAGGTTTGTAGCGAAGCTGATGGCAACAATCTGGCCAAGCAGCATGAAAGCCCACGTGTATCGGATACCGCGACGAATACCTAGATACGTTAGTCCTAGTTGCCAAATGATAGGTACAGTCTTCTACCTTTCTGCTCCAGATACAACCCTAGACCCAATGCGAAGAAGAAGATTTGGTGTGACCACCAGTACCTCGCATATCCGATGATGACAGTCTCCCATGCCTCTCGAAACAAGGACGTCTCTTTCAACCACAACCCCCAGTGATTCTGATGAGGCTCAAGCTCGTAGTAGCTACGCCACATCAGCCAAGACTGATAGCTGACCTTGAAGTACTGGAACATGTGCGTCCATGTTGTGAGCAAGCTGCCCGCAGCAAGTGCACTGAATAGCCAGACATGTCTTCTTGGTGGGAGCTGTGCGGTAGTTGACTTTCGCAACACGCTAGCTCTTTTGACGAGCCTCAGGATGATGAAAACCGCGACAGAGAAGCATGTCAACAGATAGGAGAAGAAGATGGCATAGGGCCGGGTGTTGGTATCGGACCCTTCTGGGGGCGGTTCGCGATGCATGGAGCGGTGCGGGACAGAGTATCCAGGCGGCCCGAATCCTGGAGGGGCCATCGTGAGACGATTTTCGGGGTTTGTTGGGCGGCCATCACGTACAGTATGCTCTCCAGCCTTTATGGTGCCGTCGACAGTGACGAAACGTGTCAAGTGCGGATCAAAGGGCTCTTCTGCTTTGCCGGCAATGTGTATTGATTAACAGCTATCTTGGGACTGAGCTCCTAGGATGCGGCCGCGGTCGGTTGTTGCGCCAATGATGGCGTGGCTGATGCAGGGATGGCCACTTTCCACAACACGTGCCCAGGTGCCTCGGTGCCAAGGCGCCAGTGAGATCGTCATGTTTTCCCAGGTCCGTCGCGGTCTCGTCTTCGAAGATTCTCGTCCCTTGTTTTGCTTCAAGTAGCTCTCCTCCCCTGTGCTAACCCTCGCTGTTGTTTTCTCGCACATTCTCCTACTCTGTCACGACAAACTGCAAACGCCAAACCTCACAACACGGTGATGTCAGGCACACGGACCATTTGAGCTTTGCAAACCCTGATTGGCTGTTGTTTCATCATTTGGACCTCACCGCCACGCTCAAGCTACCAGACGCCCAAGCTGCGTAGCTCCGTCGATATTTTCCAGTCATCTACTGTGGTGTTTGAACATTCATTGAAGCTGTCGCCGCGATGACCGATACACCGCAGACCACGGCGGGTGCCAACCCCAAGGAAGCCAGGGTCCTAGAGCAGCATCTAGACCCAAGCTTCGACTTCTCAGAGTTTGACCCAGCGACGCCAGCGGCAGAAGAGGGCGCAGATAACGCCTCCAACTCGGGCGACCGCCAGCTTCCAGAATCGTCGTTGCGGTTACAGGGTGGCGACATCCACCGCGACCTGTACAAGATTGCGGCGCAGAACAGACGGCAAAAGTTGCACCAACGAGCAGCAACCTTTTCTGATGCAGTTCATTTTGGCCGCAACCCTGCTCCGTCAATTTCGGACGTTGACCATGACGAACTACCCGTTCGCGACCAGCTCGCGCCCGGCGGCCTGAGACGCCAATACTTACAACGGCAAAGCAAGCGTGTCAGCTACATCTCGGAGCCTGTTACGCGAAACTTCATTTCGTTCCTTGAACTGTATGGCCAATTCGCTGGTGAAGATCTTGATGAAGATTCGTCGGATGCGGAGTCTGCCGTTGAAGACGAAGATGAGGGGCAAGGCGAACGGAGACCACTTCTTGGACGCCGACAGAGCTCGAAGAGACTGAGGGCTCAGGGCGATGCGGACCAGGTCAAGACCTTCTTTACTCTCCTGAAGGCCTTCATCGGTACCGGAATCATGTTCTTGCCCAAAGCCTTCAAGAATGGCGGCATGCTGTTTTCGTCGATCACCATGATCATGGTCTCTGCCATCACAGCGCTGTGTTTTGAGTTGCTGCTGGCGACAAGAAAGAGGTACGGTGGTGGTGGTTACGGTGACCTGGGTTCTATCGTTGTGGGTCCGAGATTCCGTGCCCTCATCTTGGTCTCCATCACGCTCTCGCAAATCGGCTTCGTATGCGCTGGTCTCATCTTTACTGCCGACAACCTTCGATCGTTCCTGGATGCTGTCACTCACGCTGAGGAGCCTCTTTCAACCAATGCGCTCATTGGTATTCAGATCGCTGTCCTGATACCCATGTCCTTCATCCGGAACATCTCCAAGCTCGGACCCGCCGCTCTTCTCGCCGATGTCTTCATTCTCATCGGTCTGACGTACATTTACTGGTACGATATCTCATCGATCACCAAGATGGGCGGTTTCAACCCATCTATCGAACTCTTCAACCCTCGCGACTTTACTCTGACTATCGGTTCCGCCATCTTCACCTTCGAGGGCATCGGCCTTATTCTTCCCATTCAGTCCAGCATGAAGGAGCCCGAGCACTTCAGCAAGCTGCTCTACATCGTCATGCTCATCATCACCGTCATTTTCACGTCTGTCGGTGTACTCTGCTACGGAACCTTCGGCGAGAACGTCTCCGTCGAGGTCATCACCAACTTTCCCCAGACCAGCAAGCTCGTCAACGCCGTCCAGTTCCTCTATTCCATGGCCGTTCTCGTCGGTACACCGGTGCAGCTCTTCCCTGCTATGCGAAACATTGAGCTGAAGATCTTTGGTCGCGCATCGGGCAAGCAGAGCAACATGACCAAGTGGAAGAAGAACGCCTTCAGGACCAGTCTTGTCATTCTTTGCGGTCTCATTGCTATCCTTGGAGCTAGCGACCTCGATAAGTTCGTCGCGCTCATTGGCAGCTTTGCCTGTGTACCTCTGGTGTACATCTACCCTGCCTACCTGCACTACAAGGGCGTTGCGAACCGTCCTTGGGAGAAGTTCGGTGACATTTCCATGATGGTTATTGGTGTCGTCGCCATGGTGTACACTACCAGTATTACACTTGCTAGGTGGTCTGAGACCTAGGGACAGAAAGAGGGGTGATTGGAAGAATACAGAAAAGTCCCTTTACAGTACGGTGGAAGTAGCGTCATATTGCATAGTTTGTTTCCGGCACGGCGTTCAGGTGGACGGGTGAATGGGATGTCTTTGGATGGAATTCTTAACGCGCGCATGTTACAATTACGTGTAACGATAATGGCATACTAGTACGTTTTCGTCTCTTCGCATCTCCCCTGTGATGAGCTCCACAACTTAGTTACCTCGCTTCCCCTCCCACAAGCGTCTTACTACTGTTCAAAATTGAACGCCTCTTCCAACCTACGCCAGAACGGGAACGCCTCCCTTGATGCCCAAAGTTCAAGAAAGCAAATAATGACACAAGCTGCGACAAACAGAATGAGAAGCCCGATGAAGATGGCGTAAAGATACTCGGCGACGACCATTACCATCTCCATTAGTGTCGTCGCACGATCAACATCATCAGGCTCAACATCACCCAGCCATGCATTCACAGCCTCGATCTCCTCTCTCCTTACCCTCCTCGCAGCTTTGGCTTCCGCTTCCTGCTCCTCCCTAATAATCCTCTCTTCTTCCCTCTCTATACCCCGCCAAATCTCCGCCAAATCTTCTAATCCTTCTCTCTTGATCTCAAACCACTTTGTCCGGCATAGTGGACATTTGTTGCTATTTGGCATTCCTGATGCGAGCGCCTTGCGCAGACATTGGTATCCGAAGATGTGGTCAACGCAATGTGGTGTGTTGATGATGAGGATGGGGGCGTGGGAGCCGTGGAACTGGTCTTGGCAAATTCCACATATTGTGCCTGTGGCGGGATAGAGGGGGTGTGAGGGCAGGAGCGGGAGGAGATTGCCGGTGAGGAAGGTGGGTAGGGTGAATGGGGAGGTTGTGGAGGTTTGGAATAGTCCAGTAGGTCCAGCACGCGAGCGCCGACTTGGATTGGTTCTTGGTATCGAGGTAGGGTCAAGGAATGTTGCAGAGACGGAAGGTGGAAAGATTTCAGTTAATGATGGTGGGGTATGATCTTCTGATGGTGCAGCAGGTTCTGGTTGGGCCAGAAAGCTGTCTGGTTGTTGTGTGGGAGAAGACGGACGGTATAGACGATTTGGGTCTACTCTTGAGAGGCGGTCGGGCATACCTCTTGGACGGGGATCAACTAATGAAATTCTCTCCCGATGGATCCAATAGGGGCGGGTGGTTGGATGGCTCTCAGTGCCTTGGGGAGGAGAAGACATGTTCGCAGCGATGGTTGAGTGGTGTGGTTGCGGGTGGGGGCATAATTTTAGACGTTCTTTACATTGAGAAATGTTCACTAGTGGATGAAAATGGGCGATGAAACATGTAGCTGTATGGAGCAATCTAGTCGAACAGCTCGTGCCCTGGCATTCACTGCTTTGGCCTACTGCCCACTTCACCGTACCACGAAAATCCTTTGGTGTGAAGAGAGCCTGATGTCTAAGATTCACCTCAGGCTAATCTAAGTCTACAATGTGAGTCAAGAAAGAAAGAATGAAAGAAAGATACCCACAGAACCAGCTACAGAACTCAACCCTGGTTCTTCTCCATTTCTACTCTCGGATCATCGACAACTTCCCACTCATCCTCTACGTCGATCTTGTCCCATTCCTCTTCGTCCGAGTCCAAGTTCAGCGTCTCAAACTCTTCCTCGGGAACCTTCTCTTTGGGAACCTTGGACTTGTCCATAGCCAACACCCTATCCAACTCGGCACGAGTAGTGGGATCCGTTTGCACCGAAGCGAGGTTCTCGACTGAGAAACGCGATTTGACAGTTTTTGTAGTTGCCCGGCTCCTGACGGGCAGCTGAGTCCTCCTACCTTCCACGTCAGAGGGATTGAGGGAATATGTCGGCACATTGCGTTTGACAGGTGTTGTGGGGGTCGTGCTAGTCGTCGGTCGCACACCAACGTTGCTCTGAGCGCGTTCTGCTTTCTTAGTGGCGATGTCGCTCGGTGGCCCGTTTCTGAGCTTCTCCAGGAGGTCAGGAAAGGAGAGTCCGACATTGTCCATATTCGAGACCATTGTCTCGATCTCTGCGTCAGAGTAGTTTAGCTCGCGAAGGTCACGAATAGTTGCTAGGCGTGCTCTGAGGGCTGGTAGGTCTTCGAGACGTGTTGACTTATTCAGAAAAATCGGATCTCTGGCTTTTGTCACGACCTCTCTCCTAGCGTCTGGGGCCAATTCGGGTGTAGTGAAGACATTAGGCTGGTAAGCTGTAGGCTTGAAAACTACAGACCTGAGAGCTGTAGGCTCTCCGAAGACTGGCGGCTTATATCGGTCACCAAGACTTCGACTTGGTAACGTAGTTCTTGATTTGTCTTTGGAGGCGGGGGAAGGTGTGTTGAAATCGACATTTGCGTAGGTAAGTTCGGCAAAAGAAGATCCATGTACCTCTCCCGTCTCTTGGTTCATGGGTGCAATCACTTTTGCGGAAGGATTGATAGTATTTGAATGGGTATAGCCCAATCGCCAGAGCGGCGTGGAGACAGCTCCTGGTGGTTTTGTTGTTGATGCAGGCAGCGATGCCCGTGGTGATCGTGATGGCTCTGGTACTAGCGTTGCCTGCAATGGCTGTGACGGGAGTGATGACAGGAATGGCGGGAATGAACCTAGTCGCGATTCGGGAGAAGATTGCACTGCGTTGCGAAGCTCATGCTCCCTCTGTTGTCGTATCGGTTGGCGGTGGGAGGATCCGGCTGTGGAGGAAGCACTCCCGAAAGGTCGATATGTTGACGGAGCTCTATTCCAAGGGTGCTCTGGGTCATCGGAGCGTCGTATGGTAAGCGATGAGTAGCTGGGAGGGTCATCACAGTTGAACGTCTCCCGCCTGCGCACAAAAGCATCATTGGGGGTGCTGTCTTCCATCCGACCTGTGTAGCCCCATGGAGTTTCCTGCCTGCGCCCAGAAGCAAAAGAGTCATTGGGAATATAGTTGGGAGGTCCATCGTCTGTCGCACTTCTGGTATCCCTTGAAGGAGACATAATATCAGAGGTGTATGAGAGGTCGTGAGTGGCGCGGAGGTATTGGTGCAGCAGAAGTGGAACTCTGATGGCAGAAGCCCTGCTTTTAAGTAAGGGCTTTTTCGAAGTGAAATATAACCGCAGAAATTAGGGAAAGAAAATGTGCGACAGTGTGGCCAAGGGAAACGTGGGAGGCAGCAGAAAACCACGGACCAGCGCATTTAACAAGCGGTACACCGTAGGGGTTTGGCTCAAGGTCAGCATTTTGTCAATGATCCTAGGTAATGGGTGCCATTCCTTGGTTCAGAGGGGCGAGGGACCACTGGTACCTTTCTACCGCATGCCAGTCATCAATTTCAACGCTCCCATTGGATCTTGTACACGTACGCGTTACTCCAAGACTTGAACACTCCATTGGAGCGTTTTGATTGCATATAATGAAGGTTAGCTGCACACAGGAGAAAACGTACTCCCAAAGTCTACTTGGGCGCGCTCCATGCAGCGACGACACTCCCAAGTACGTGGCTGGAGATTCTGCGATAGATCATTTCCACCCTCGAGCGTGAAGACCACACGATGCGATGAGTACAAGGAGTGAAGGTAGCCAATCGATAGGCCGAAGCGAAGAAGCAGCGACAAAGACAGCCAGGTGGTCAGTGTTCAACGGCTACAGCGATCGTTTGGCGGGCCTTTGCCGCGTGCTATACTTAGCCACCACCACCACCGGCATAAGTTTCAGAAGCCTTAAACAAGCGATATCTCGAGTAATAATGGCAAAGACAGATAGTGAGAGAGGATGCAACGCAGTGCACCATGGTGAGCGATGATGCAGGTGTCGTCCCAAAAGGGAGAGGCGGGCTTGGCAACGCTATGGCCAGCGCGATGGGCGGCCCACTCGATTGTTTGGATTCGTCCCGCGTCACAACATTCAAGGTCCAACACCCCAACGCCCCGACGACGACACCCCCAGGACTGCCCTTTTGCCTTTGGCGTTGATACACACGACTGAATTGCTTCGAGACGACATGCTCAGCTAACGTAGACGATACTTCACCTTTATCCGGAACGCGACTGCCAGCACCGCGACGCGCCCAACCACCCGCACTTACTTCTACCTCTCACACATTCGCCATGGCTGCCCGCACAAAGGCACCCACTGTAGGGTCCGCTGGATGGATCCTCGAGGAGCGCCATCAATCCAACACGCTTGTATCCCAAGAATTGGAGGATTTTGGCTTCTCTGTGCGCAACGAGCTGGAATGGCTCAACGAGCACATGTTCGACATTTTGGCCAGCGACAGACCGTATGTCGCGTCTACCTTGCGTCAACACGCGCCAGACTGACTCTCCGGTAGACACAACCTCGATGTCTTCAAGACACCCGGCAAATTACGCGGCAAGACGCCTCGCACCGCGCGAAAGAAGGCGGTGGATCGCCAGGTAAGAATTTGCGCGTCGCCTTCCATCCCATACTAACCTCAGCCAGCCTCTTGCCAGCATCAAGTCTGCGAACGCGCAGAAACGCAACAGCGCCGCCGAAGAGAGTCTACGAAACGTCAAGGCTAGATTCCAGATCGCCGAAGACGCAGAGAACACGGTTCGCCAATCGCCTACCGTTACCCGCACGCCCATCGCGCGACAGCTGTTTACTAAGCCCGAGAGCGCCGGCAAGGAGAACGTCGACACTAGCTTCCAAGCAAATGTATTCGATAAGCGCCCAGCACAGCCTCTTGCACCAGCATGGAACCCTGTCCAGTCCTCGCAAGAGACGGTAATGACTTCAGAAGCCAGCGAGGTCTTCTCACCGCCACAGAGCTTCTCAACACAACCCACACAGCCCACTCAATCCTTCCGTCATTCGATACACGAAAAAGAAGAAGACCGCGACACTGGCGATTCTTTCGTCTCCGCGAATGAGGCTTTCGCGAGCAAGAATGCCTCGCGGGAAGCTTCGCGCGCAAAAGACGCGGACGCGGATGCGATGGAAGTGGATGACGAATACAAGGCTGACCGCTCGCGATCTGACGCCGATGGTACCATGATTCACCATGACCTTTCCGACGCAGAGGATCACAGCATGGATGATATGGAGGACTTCCCAGAGCCACCACGCGTAGTTTCCGAACAGTACAGCATCTCCGCCGAGACCCACGACGCGCTTGACACAGCGAACAACCGCGCTCTGGCGCCTGAGCCGAAGAACATCTACGCGCCCGACCACTCGACCACGCCCTCAGGCCCGCCGCCTGCGTCCCCAGAACTTGAGCACAACGATACCCTCATCCATCATGATATCGATGATCAAATGGACATGGACGATGATGTGCGCTCTCCTTCAGACAACTCTAGCCCTGTAAAGCCGCTCGTTAGGAAAAGCAGTCTTACCTTTGCCTCCCTTCCCGCACGCGAGCCATTGCTCCCGAAGAAGAGTATGGGCAACCGAGTGTCGCGCATTAGTCACATCGACCAGAGCAAAGCCCGCAACAGCCACATGGGAAGATTCACAGGAGGAAAGAGTTTGGGAGGCTCGCAGCTCGCGCATCCTGCGGAGATACAACACGCCGATGACTCAGATGTGGACATGGAACGCCCGGAGCTTCAGCGAGAGGAATCGGAGACAACGAAGGTTCACAACAAGACCTCGACCCAGCGTCTGTTCGAGCGAATCAACATGCTCAAGCAGCAGAACGAAGCGCCGAAGCGCATCAGCCAGAACATCACTTCTGCGCAGTCGCAGCCTCAGGAACCCACACAAGCAAAGGAAGAGGTGGCACCTGTTCAGACTTCACAGCCAGCGTACCCGAGCCTCCCAGCACCCGAACCCGCACAAGAGGACGACGACGATGACGACTGGATCTCGCCGGTTCGGACAGCAGCAGTCGCACCCAAGGTCGCTAGGCCTGCTTTTAACAAGAGCCATACTGCTGACGTCCAGACCTCTCCAGGTAGGCATGTGCCGCCCAAGCTCACTTCAGTCTCAAATCCGGATCTCACAGCAGTTGCTGAATCAACCACGCCGGTTGGCTCTCCGACTAGTAAGAAATACATGGATGGCCCCCTCAGTGCTTCGAAATCTAAACTGTATTCAGCATTCCGCGCAGCGAAAGAGAAGCTCATCGGATCGAGTGCTACCAGCGCTCAGGTGAAGATGGATGCACTCAAGGAGAGCCCTGCTAGGCCCAAGTTCCCCTCTTCAGATCCATCAGAAGATGCCCTAAGCAGCCCCAAGCGCGCAGAGAGGCCGGCCACTATCTTCACTCATATGCGCTCACCTTCCAAGGACTCTATCAAGTCCGGTAAGAGTGCTACCATGCCCGGTAGCCCACTAAAGGGAGACGGTCGACGGACTCGCAGCTCCACTGAACGCGAGAAGCAGAAGGAGAAGGACGCGAGAGAGAAGGAAATGAGGGAGACCAAGCAACAACAGCGTGCTGAGGACAAGCTCAGGCAGATGCGCGAGAAGGAACAAAGCAAGGCTGCTGCACATGCCCAGAAGGCCAGAGCCATGGGCGCAAAGACACCGACCGCGATGTCGTCGCAATCAAGTCTGAGGCAACCCACTGCATCGGCTGCGAGTAAGACACCAGCACAGGCAGCACCGCAACAGCCCGTGTCTCGGCCTGGTATCCCTCGATCAAACACTGCTTCCTCCAGGGAGCAAGACGTGGACTCCGGCGACGAAATGCCACCACCGCCACCTCCGAAGAGCCTGTTGCCTACCACTAAGACGACAAAGGCACCTCTTCGGGAGCCTAGGAAACTTGCCAAACCATCAAGCAAGGATGCTATTACAAAGGCGAAGGCACCTCAGAAGATTATGGTCAATCTCAAGAGCAGCCAGTACGGACAGGCACCTCCCCCTGCTGCTCGTCCGGCTCCGTCGTCTAGCAAACCTCTCCCATCGGCTCCTCAGAACTTGGGAAAATCTGTGGGACCTTCATCAAGGCCTCCTACAGCCGCAGCAAACCGCCCAGCTTCAGCTTTGTCTACTAAGTCTGCACCCGGAACCAAGTCTGCAAGGCCGATCTCTAAGCCTCCCGCGCCTCAAGCCGCCCGCCCGCAATCTGTGGTTGAAAAGCCCAAGGCTTCGACGTCACAACCACCGCGCTCTGATCTTGGAGCCGCCCGACCTATATCTCGCCTACAGACAGTTCAGGATGCGAACCGCATCAACATTCCTCCTGTCAATCCTGCAAAGCCCCCTCCCAAGCGACAGTTCCCAGGCGAAAGCGATGAGACCCTCCATCGCCCAGCGAAACGACCTTCACAACAGGCGAAGAACCTCAACCCAACTACACCAGCGCATGCTCAGTTTGCGAAGGGCAAGATTCCATTCGCGGAGTCCGCATACCAACCCCAATCCCAGGCACCCACGATACAGTACCCCAACGGAGATGACATCAAGCTGCCTGAGATTATGACCGACTCGGAAGACGAAGACTCTGAGAACGAGTTCGAGCAGCCCAGCTGGGTTAACACCCCCAACCTTCGCGAGATGCTGAGCAATCAACAGCTCATGGATCCCGAGCACATCTTCGGTCCCATTGCACCGCTGGAGATGGAAAAGGTCTTCCCCAACAAGGAGCGCCACAAGCGTTTCCGCGAGCGCACCAGCAGCGCCTACTGGGCCAACGACGAAGTCACAGCCGAGGAGAAGCGCAAGGAGCGCGAGGCGAGAGAACGCCTCGTTCGCGATGGCGGATGGACATACAACCCCTCGCCCCTTCCCAAACAATCCGGCTCATCCCGTTAAGACCATCACGACGGCATGTCTGGGGTGTTATTACATTCTTCATCCCTGGTACATGGTTCCATCCATAACGAGCATGTTGAGGCGTAAAACTTGTGTATTGTGTATATATTATATCGGGCGCAGCATCACGACCGCATGAAGCGCATGATGAGGCAGAGCGAGCGTGCCTCAAGGGCTTATTGTCATTGTTTTTATTAGGTGTTCTGAAGGATGGTATGGACGAGCATCGGCCCCGATTGAGTGGCTGGCTATGATTACTTGGTGTTTTGAATGGGCGTTTCTGTTCTTGCTTACTTTCTTCTGAGATAATCTTTTGTGTAGTCTTGGTCAATGATGAGACTGTTGTCATGTTCATATTTGCTCATACTGTGCTTTTGACGTTGTGAGCTACGTTCTTGAACGTGATGTGGCCTTTGGACATGCATATTCTTAGCATATTCATCATGTCAAGAGGATCACGAAGCTACCGGATATTGTATTACCACTGCGAGAGTCAGTCGCAGTGTTTGGTCATGGTCCGCCTGACTCGTCCCGTGCCTGCAAGACAAATAATTCTTCCAACAATCGTTCTCATTTTATCATTCCAGTTCATGCCAGCCAGTCGCAAGCCTACTCTAAGCGCCTGTACGATACATTTTAAGAACGTTCCAGGCCCTGCTATCAAAAGAGGAAGTGACAGCGGAAGGCAGAGGACAAAGTAGGCCGACTGCATCAATACGGTAGTGGAAATGTGATATACGGGCCTCACAGCGGGAACATGTACCAAACGCGCGGTTTCCAATAGCCGTGCCATCCTTTCAATGATAGTACCTACACGACCGGGAGCGGGGTTTTGAACTACCTCGGCCGGCAGTATGGCTTGGAAGAAGACGGAGCGTCAAGCCAAATGACAGGCTGTCCATAAATTTGTCATGACGCTCATCGGTGGACTCACAAAAGGCGTCCGTCGGCGTCTTCGGCACGTATCTTGAGTTGCCCGGCTGGTTGCATGGTGGCGGCCACGTTGGTGGAGGGTATGTAAACGTGTCACAGCCTCTTCCCATACACACCGATAGGATCGTCTATCAGGGAATATGCGGTGGAGATGTAGTGTGGTCCGGGGCACGGGAGCGGAGCGGAGGAGGGAGAGGATACTTACATGAACCAGAACATAGCTCGATGGCGTCTTCACCGTGTGCGGCAATTGAATGGAAGAGGCCGCCCTACTCCGAGGAGCTGCAGCGTACATCTCTCCTATGGTCTTTTTGCGTGTGTGTGACCCGATGTGCTGGCTGGCGTGGTGGCCACCGCCTAAAGAGATAAGATAGACAATGACAAAAACGTGAGGTCATGTGAAGAAGAAAAATATGTGATGCGCGTTCGTAAGAGGGAGACAGACGAGGTACATTGCGCCTGGAGAGGAAGTAAGAAGGGAAGATGTTAGTTAGGCATCCTCTTACGTAATTTACTTACTAGCGTACTTACTAGCGCTTCTTTCTCTCTATATAAACAGAGGCACACTCCTTTATATATAGATTATTAATATATTCTATACTTCTCTCTATTCTATAGGTTATAAGCCTCTACGCAACTGCGCGTAATCTAGCTTACTAGATTACTATACTTGCGCTTTATATTGCGTAACTAACTATAGTTATAGTTACCTAACTACACTATACTACACTTTATCTAAGAAATACCTACTCTATACTCTATACTTTTACCTACTCTTATTACACTATATTATTATAAGTATACTTATTAACACTACTACTACTTTAGGCAAGAACTTCGCTAAACTATCTAGCTCTAAGAACTACTTAGAGTAGACTAAAGCGTTTAGTCTTATTATAAGTCTTAATAGATATATATATCTCTATAAGAATAATAAAGCTATAGTTACTAAGCCTACTACGCTAGATTTTACCTTCTTCTATTACACTTATTAGACTACTAACTCTAAGATTACTACTTAAGGTAACTTATTTAGGCTAGACTTATAGTCTTAGCTAATATACTATAACTTCTACCTTTAGAAGTATAAAGAGTATAAGAAGTTATATTACTCTATATTTATACTTCTCTAGACTACTATAGAACTCTAGATATAAAAGAAAATTAGTAATCTAGAGTTACTTTTATTAGCTATAGCCTCTATTATTAATAATAATAAATTTAATAATAAGATATAGTTTAAGCGCTCTCTTGTTAAGTTAGACTATATTAAGCTTAATAATATTATAGCTATACACTCTTTTCTTACTAAGTTTAAGAATATCTATAATAATATCTAGAACACTAATAGTACTCTTACGCGCTCGTAGCTTATTACTAAGATTCTTACTACTTTACTTTATCTCTATAACTTATTTATCTAACACTAGCGTTTTATGCACTTTAGTAAAAAGATTAGTACTAATAACTTTAAGAAATTTTAGTTACTTCTACTTAACTACACTAATAATAATAGCGCTTATTACTAAGCTAATAAGAATAATAAGTCTAAGAATTATTCTAAGAATTATTCTAAGAATACTACTTCTAAGAATAAAACTAAGACTAGCTAGTCTAGTAAGACTAGTAAATAAGATTTACCTTATATTATCTACGCTTACTATAGTTATAGTAGATATACTATTAATATCTATTATTACGTAGGTAAGCTAGACACTTCTAAGTATATATTCTATAAAAAGCTTAGATATACTAAGAATAAGTATAACGCTAAGAAATACGCTACTAAGGTTAAAGCTAAATCTACTATAGCTCTTACTCTCTACACCTCTACTAACTCTAGTAGTAACTAGAACTATATTATTATAGTAGCTACTAACTTTAATACTAACTTTAACTCTACTATAGACCTAAACTATACGTACTCTTACTCTACTTACCTAGTACTTACTAACGCTATCTAGAAGTATAAAAGTATTTACTTAGAAGTATAAAAAGCTCTCTTAAGTAGTCTATATAAGAATAGTTTAGATAGTATCTATAGTTCTAATATATTATTAGTTATACTTATAACTACACACTTAACTTTAACTACTTACTACTAGATCTATAATAGTAGAGCTTCTTAATATATTACTAATAACTACTTTCTTTTTACTAAGCTTATACTCTATATAAAAACTATAGGTATATATAAATAAAGTATATAGCTTAATATTACTAGAATAGAAACTATTAAAATAATAGTTATAAACTTCTAAGGTAAGATTATTATACTCTAGCTTTATCTCTTTAGGCCTTAGAGATAGAGCCTACTATATTATATCTTATAATATTATACTATATTATAAATAATAAATAAAAAACTTTTAAGCTATTAAAACTAAGCCTAAACTTAAACGCCTTTTACTACCTATCTATACTACTTTTCTTTCTTATATAACTTTATAACAAAGACTTATAATTTATATTAACTTATTTATTACTACTAATAATATATAGATAATACCTAGTAGTAGTTACTACTATATTATATACTATTCTTTTTAAAAGCAAGTACTACTACTACTACTACTTTTATTATAGTTGTAATTGCCTAAACACTTAAGAAAATCTTAGAATTAGTAGTAGTAATAAGTTTATAGTACTATAAAAGAGCTATATTTTTTTTTTATACGCTAGTTTAAATATTCTAGAATAATTTTAAAAACGCCTATACTTCTTTACCTACTCTAATATATTAACCTAACTATAAACGCTTCTAAAGTCTATTTCTATTACGTATTCTATTATAAGCTTATTAATAAAGCTAGTGCTATTTTATTATCTAAATTATCTACTTTATTTAAATTACTAGCCTAGTTATAAGTTTATAGTTATTATTATTATTAATTACAAGCTTATATAGAAAGCTTAAGTAGCTTAGCTATCTAGAGTAGTACTAATAGTATCTAGTTATAGTATTAGAGAGTAAATAATATATATTTTATAAAGTTAGTCTACGTAGGTAATAGCTAGTTATACTATCTAGTGTAGTTAAGAGCTAGCTAATATTAGTACTATATCTTAGAGTACTTTATATACTTAGAAGAGCTACTACTACCTATTAAGTTCTTAAAGAGACTACTAAGAATAAAAACTTTTATACTAAGAATCTTATCTTTAATATAGTGTTTAAGCTCTCTATAAATATTAAAGCTAGATTCTAAGTAGAGAAAGTAAAGCTTTACTTTTTTTAATATCTACTTATAGACTTTAATATTTTTAATATAGATATTAAGGTTAATCTCTTTTAACTTATATTTTAAAATAACTAATAGAGGTACTATCTTAAAAAGAGAGTAGATTAGAAGGTATATTAAAAAGTAGTCTAATATATTAGTATTATTATTATTATTTTTATTATTATAGGCTAGTGTTTTAATTAAGAGATAGATATAAAAGTAGATCTAGAAGATATAGAAAATATAGAGAATAAAAAGAATAAAAGAAAAGAAAAAGCTAAATATAAACTTTTTTACTTTTTAACTATAAGTAAAAGTTTAGTGTATATATACGTATAAGACTCTTCTTTATAGACTCTTTTTATAAAACTCTTTTACCTACTTAGAATACTTATTATATATTAGATTTAGAGTTATAAACTAGTATATATTACTACTTTATAGTCTTATTTTAAATATAGCCTTAAATACTTTAAGTTCTTAAACGTTTATTACTATTTCTCTATAGTTATAGCTTTCTCTTCTCTCTACTTTTATATAAAGCTTCTAGAGAGTAATAAGATATATATATAACTTCTAGAAGTCTTTTTAAGTGCCTTTACGCCTTTAGTATAAAGTATATAGAATATATAAATACTTTTCTATTCTCTTTTCTAGGTATATAAAACCTAGAAGCGTTAAACTTTATAGCTTAGTTTTAATTTCTAAAACTTTTAAAAGAATATATACTACTATATACTATAAAATAAGGTGTTTAGAAAATATATCTATATTATAATTAAATACTATATTACTTAACTACATTATACTTATATTTCTACACTAGTATATTTAATAAAGTAA